CATCCCTCGACCCACTTTCACAATCACAATTCACAACTTTGCTCGAATCAGCAGCTCATCGCCTCTCAGGCCTCACTTGACGCTTTTTCCCTCTCGCCTAGACCTGTTAAACGGGTGGGTCGGGTCGGGTTTGGGTCGGGTCATAAATGGTCCGACCCAAATTGACCCATTAACCCGTTTGACCCATTTATTCATAGTGTAAATATCTCGACCCATACCCGACCCGACCCATACCCAACCCATACCCGACCAGACCCATATTGCTAAAATACTTTTATATTTAACCTAATCTAGGAATACTTGTTTCTTATGATTTTTTTTAAATTATACTGCTAAAACATTTTATGCAATACAAAGCTAGTGAAATTTTTTTATAATTTTTTTTAAAATTGAGGTTCTGTTTGTTTTACAAAAAATGCGACATTTCTAGAAAATATTTTCCATAAAGTCATTATCCAAGAAAAAAAAATTAAATATTTTTTAATTTTTTAAATCGAATTTTTAATTATTTTTTATTTTTATTTTTATTTTTTTCTTTTTCCTTTATTTTTGACCGATCAGCCGGCGACCGACCACAGGCGAGGACGAGCTCGCCTATCTGGCGAGGCTTCAGCCTCGCCGAGCTGGCGAGACTCGAGCTCGCCGGCCTCAGGCGAGCTCAACCTTGCCGGATCTGGCGAGGTGGAGCCTCACCCGAGGCTGGTGAAGCTCGAGCTCGCCAGCTTCGGGCGAGGTCGAGTTCGCCCGAGGCTGGCAAGCTCGAGCTTCGCCGGCCTCGGGTGAGGCTCCACCTTGCCAGATCCGGCGAGGTTGAGCTCGCCTGAGGCCGGCGAGCTCGTGTCTCGCCAGATCGGCGAGGCTGGAGCCTCGCCGGGATCGGGCGAGCCTCGAGGTCGCCGGAATCGGGCGAGCTCGAGGCTCGCCAGATCGGCGAGGCTCGCCAGATCGGCGAGGCTCGAGCCCAAGGCCGACGAGCTCGAGCTTCGCCGGCCTCCGACAAGGTCGTCCCGCCCCGGTGGCCGGTCGCCGTGGTGCACCACCGGTCGGAATAAAAAAAAAAGAAAAAGAAAAAAGAGAAAAGAAAAAAGAAAAGAAAAAGAGAAAAAATAAAAATAATTAAATTTCGATTTTTTTTAAACATTTTTGTAAAGAGGGAGAGAGTATGTGGATGGGTCTAGTAGGTGGGTTGGACATGGGTTCCAAACTCAACCCATTTAGACCCATTTATCTTTAAACTTTAAAATTTAAAACCCATTTAAGGTTGGCTCTTTAAAATTAAAGTGACCCATATATGACCCATTTATTTTTAAATGGGTCATATATGGGTTTAAGACCCATTTTGACACCTCTACTCTCGCGCTCTTAGCTCTCATGCCTTGCTCTTTCCCTCTCGCTCGAGCTTGACACCTCCCTCTCGCTTTGAAGGTGTTTACGTAGCCTTGGTTAATTGGTTTTTTTATGTTTACCCCGAGCTTGAATGTTCGACTTGCATTCATTTATCACCATTTTTCGTTTGCTTGATTCATGTCAGTCCTCTTGAAAACCCTGGTCAGAGAGTTGCTCCCGTGCTCGACAGCTGGGTCGGGAAAAGTGTCAAAAAAGTCTTAAACCTATTGCATTGATGCTAATTTAGTCCTAAACCTTTTTTTGGTGCCAATTTAGTCATAAACTTTTTGTCTTTGTGCCAATTCAGTCATTTCTACTGATTTTGACCGGATGTTGCTGACGTGGACACCGGCCGGCCTACGTGACACCGGCCGGCCTACGTCGCACCGCCGGCGATGATGTGGATAACTTTTAATAATATTTTAATATTTTTCGAATTTTTTTTATTTTTTTTTTAAATTTTAAATTTTATTTTTTGCTTTTCCTTTCTTTTTCCTCCGGCTAGTCGCAGGCCTCTGGTGAGCCCCGCCGGCCACTGGCAAGGCTTGCCTCGCCCTTGCTAGTGGCATCGACCTCACGGCCTCTGGCGAGGGCTCGAGGCCTTGCCCAGCTGCTGGCGGGGCTTGCTAGAGGCCAGCGAGGAACCTCGCCGGCCTTAGCCTTCAACCAGTCGTCGGACTGGCAATCGGCTAGAGGAAGAAGAAAGGAAAAGCAAAGAACAAAAGAAGAGAATTTTTTTAAAAAAAATAAATAAAAACTTTGAAAAATATTAAAATATTATTAAAATTTGTCCACGTCGTCGCCGGCGGTGCCACGTAGGCCGGCCGGTGTCCACGTCAGCAACATCAGGCCAAAATTAGTCGGAAGGACTGAATTGGCATAAAAACAAAATGTTAAGAACTAAATTGACACCAATGTAATAGGTTTATCACTTTTCTAATACTTTTCGCCAGCTAGGTCCAAAGGGGCAACGAGGTCCGATTCGCGGAGCTCCAGTGCATGATCGGAGACTTTCGCTACTGCAAAAGATTCTCTCATGCGCTCGTGGTTCGTCGTTCTCTGTTCTGTTTTTTTCCCTTCAGCCAAGCTGTTGATTTCGGTTGTTGGCGTACTGATCAAATGGGGTTGAGACTTGAGTCGTGCGTGATTCGGTGATGTTTCTAATAGCGTGATCCTGGGGTGCTGTTTTGGTCTATGATATAGAAATTGGTTTGTGATGTAGAAATTGTGTGTTGATATGGATAGGTTATTTGATATGTAGAAATTGGTTTGGGATCAAAGACGCATATTCCGGAAATTGATTCCTGCGGGGGGGTCGGCGATGAGTTCGCCGCCGTCCAAAACACTCGAACATTTCAAGGGACTATAACTTACGCGTGCAAATTTCGTGATTTTTTATATATAATTTATTTTTTAGAATTTGTATAATTATGTGTTTTCTTGTTGTTGAGATGAAATTAGGAAAAATAACGTAAAAGGTCAAAATCTCTAAGGGTGGGCAGGAACTCCACAGCAATTAAAAATATAGTGCGAGTAATATTCTTAAGTTCACGTGCTTAAAAATATAAAATATATCTATCAAGGTGGTATCTCAATATAATGATTCCCCCATTTTCTTCATAATATTATAATAGACAATTACTAGACATTAAAAAAAATGTAATGTAATGTAAAGTTTAGACGGAAAATAAAAATTCAAAACAAGGTGAGCAGAACCTTTCAAGATGGGAATGCTATTTGCATTATTAAAACGTGCAACGACATAATTGAGAAACACTCGACACAAAAATAGGACAAGTGATGGTGCAATGGTGACTTTCAATTAGAGTTGTTTATTTCCACGTTGCACGAATGGCTGTCAATGTTTGACATCCAACGATGACCGGGAGGGGCCAAAGCGCTTATTATAACTCTCCTCATTTTTATAAATGAAAATTGGCTCCTTCGATCACGTCCACAAGACTTATTAAATAGGATATAGCGTTCTCTCGTAAGAATAAGTTAAGGGTTCGCGATTTGACGTTTCGATCTAGACCTAATCATACACCTGACAGCTCATCTGCTTGCCCCAAGCCAGAAAGGCCCGAAGGGCACTTTCGGGGCGGGCTCTGGCGAAGCCATTTGGTTATAAAGCTCGGGCCAGCTCAACGATTTTGTACATGAATTTTTTGTTAGGGGTAGGTCTCGACAATGAATCGGGTCCGGCCAACCCATTGTTCACCTCTGCTTTGAATCAAGACCATATAAATCCTCCTTGAATACATTCTCGTTACTCTAATAAGCCCGACTCTCTTGATCAAGATTGATCGACCACGACTCATCGGCTCTCTACGACCGGATTCTTGTTACGCGGGTCCAATTGCTTGTACCGCTCGGCGTTCGGCCCATTCTCAACCTTCCCTTAGATCCTAAACTATATTCTATGCATTGCTCTGTGTCCTTGCATATAGAAAACGGGAGCTATAAGAAATGTCCACTTCTTTGCTCGTCACGCGGTACTTAACTTTGCTTCTTCTTATTGCCTTGCGGCAAGCTACACTGTATAATTATGGCACATTGCGGCTCACACTCGACCAAATAGCTATAGTCTAGTCACGGGGGTATTGGAGGCAATGATCTCTCGACGCATTCTGTGCGTTCGAGAGGGCTTTCACAATAAATCCATTTATACTTTTGTCACCTCTCGTCTTCACTACACTTGTAGAAAGTCATCAGTTTGGTGATTTGTTAAGTCTCAAACATCTATCACTTATCAAATCTAACATAAGTATGTTTGCACGAACTCGACCAACGAAATAGATTAAACATGTTGGGTTTTTTCCCCCAAAATTCACTTAATTAAAACTATGTTGACTTGGGTAAGTGTCAATTTTACCTTACATTGAATAATTGTTGAATAAGAATCTCATAAACCGGAAATCATGAAATTATCACATATCTGATTTTTTTTTTAACTATGGATGGAAAATCTTGAATCAAACAAGTTCAAAAATCCCCAAACTTGCACCTATGTGACACATTTACCCTCCGTCAAAGTTCCGTTAGATGATTTTCCAATCAAAATAACGTCGTTTTTATTTCACTTAAATACCATTTGCTTTCTGGCTTCGCATATGCAGATTTTCAACGGTTCATTGACATAACTTTCACGGAAGGTAAGTGTGTCATACGTGCAAAAGTTTGGGATCTTCGATGTCACAGATCAAAGCTTAAGGTAAACGTGTCACGGTAAGCATTAATTTAGAGTTTGTCGTGGCTTTTGCCCTTACAAAAAATAAAAGGAATCCACTCAGCTTACGTTACACAAATCAAAATAAGGACAATAATGTCTTTTGCTTGCAAGGCAACAAAGTGAAGCCAAGGAGGCTGTCGGTGGAGGAATTTTGTCGGTTCAGCTCCATCAGAATTTCCTCTTCCTTGCGGCCCCAAAAACAAACGAAAAAGAAACTCCTTTGCCACCACGTACAGCCTGTCCTCCCCTAAACCTCGAATATCTCTTCTCCTCACAGCTCATCGCAGCCGTCGATCCCTCCCCACAACTGTTCGACGCTTAACGACACATGCCCACGCCATCTGGTTCGCAGCATCCGACGGTGACCTGCGATCTAACTCCCCCCCCGGTCTCCTTCTCTCTCTGCTGGGTCACCTCCGTTTCTTTCTTTCTTATTTGTCTAGATACTCGCACATCAGCACCACTCACCGACGACCCAGAATCAAGAAATCAGCGCACACCCACCTCCTCATTCCGTCTCTCCGATCTGAGGATAATCCAGGTAAGTCCCAGCTCTCTCCAAGAATCGGTATTTGCTCTTGTTCTTTCAGCTTTCTTGAACTGTCTCGGCTCATTGAGTTGCTCAGGGTGTCGTTAGATTTGGTCTGGTTTGTGGGTTTAGCAGCATGTGTCCGCATCATTTGTAAAGTTTCGTGCTTTTGACTTGATGTCATGCTGTTCATCGATGTTGATGATATTGATGTGATGCTAGAATTTGAGGGAATGGCTCTTGTGGATTGTCCCTGCTAAAAAATTGTTTGTCCAGTTCTCAAGATGGAGGAGATGAGGAAAGCGATTTGGGTGATTCTGGCAATGGCGGTGTTTGCGAGCAGTGCGATGGTGGGTGTTCGTGGGGATGATACCAAGATTTTGGTGAAGAAGGTGAAGGGGGAGAAGGTGTGTATGCAGGGATGGGAGTGTAACACTTGGTCGAAGTACTGCTGTAACCAGACGATCACCAACTTCTTCCAGACTTACCAGTTCGAGAACCTCTTCTCGAAGCGGAATTCGCCGGTGGCCCATGCCATCGGCTTCTGGGACTTCCAGTCCTTCATCACCGCTGCCGCCCTCTATGAACCCCTTGGCTTTGGTACCACTGGTGGCCATTTAATGCAGATGAAGGAGATCGCTGCCTTCCTCGGCCACGTTGGAGCTGCGACTTCTTGTATGGATCTTGCCTCATAAGTGAATTGTGATTTTTCTAAGTTTGTAGCTGCACTAATTGTTGTTGAGCCTTAGGAAGGTCATGTGTGCACATATGTTTATATTGTGGTCTTGATCTTGCATCATGTAGTCATCTGGATGAGTTTGAAGCTTAATTTGCGATAATTATTGCACAAGGGAATTAAATCACTGACCTATTTCGTTTGTCGGTGATACCTTATTTTTGTTGTACGGCGGGGTCCCTTGTTATGAAAATGTGTGCTGAGGTCCATCTGTGAGATTTGAGTTCATGTGGGCTGCTTTTGTAGCAATTTGGAAGCAGTTTTCAGTTGTTTTGTGATCTTGTGTTTGGTATTCTCTTCTGGTTTCACTGGGAGGTTGACTGTCCGAAGTTTGTGGGCTTGACTTTGCTTGTGAGTGAAATTGATTTTGGCGGTAGTCCTTTGAAGGTTGTTCTGTTTCTTGGTATACTCTTAGTGAAGCACACTGCTTATGTAGAGAAGTTAGTGGGAATGTTCATTGTTTTTTCCTCAATTTTGTTTTTAGTAAAGTACGAGATGAAAGTACTGGAGTGACATGTATTATTGGTACGATCTTTTTGGTTTGTTATCGTTTTTTCTTCGTTGAAGCTATCAGTGTCTGTTGTGCTGGCATCAGGTTTCCTTGTTTCTCTTAACTTTTCCTACATAAATAGAATATGTCGTTTGTAGTAAACTGATCTCGGATATTGCTGTTGAGAAATCTGATCTGTGAGTGTGACCCATTAAGCATTTACTAGTGATTGGTTGATGGACGAGCCTTGAAAGAATTTGCTTAGCCTCGTTGGGACTGGACGGCCTCAAGTTGCATGAAATAAATTTAGTTTAACCTTGTGGTTGAATGTATGTTGTTTCAAATGAATGGTAGACCTGCTTCGGACAAGTTTGATCCAAGTTAAACCGGTACTGGCTGTCAGTTGACAAGCTAAAATTTCACTGCCACCCACAATGCAATTGACTGCACATTCCGGCTCTCTTATACATAAAAAATTTGATTAATAATATTTCTCACTTGATTATGATCTCTGATGATGACTTCAGGTGGCTATGGAGTATCAACTGGAGGACCTCTAGCATGGGGTCTTTGCTTCAACAGAGAAATGAGCCCTAGCCAGTCATACTGTAATGACTACTACAAACTCACCTATCCTTGTAGTCCTGGAGCTGAATACTATGGCCGTGGTGCCCTGCCCATCTATTGGTATGTATATGTAGCTTCAATCTCAAGGACTTCCGAGAAGAGTCTCTGTTTCTATGATGAGTCATAATCTCTGTCAACAATTGCATAAAATGGAAACTCGTGTAGTTGTATGAATAGGCTCGGACAATGGGGACTTGAGCGTGCTGCCGCACTTTACCAGAAACTCAGTCTTTGATATGTAGCATGAGCAATTCACATGTCGGTGTCATCACAGAAGTTTCATCAAATGGCGCAGCAACACGTGGGAATCTATGATTTGAAACCTTTTCTTTTGAAAGGTGTACATTTTGAAACTTCTACATGGAATCTGCAACAAAATGCAGTTATGTCTCAGTGACAAGTGAGAATTAGCATCACTTCGGAAATAACTTTAGATGAATATTTTTCGACATTTAGGACAGGATTGCTCTTTGGTAAAAGGCAAGGCACTACCCAATTTATGAATGACCAGGGAAAATCTCTTACATTCAAGTATATAATTACAGGGCTTTCATTTCATTGGTAAACAAATTCTGACTCTTCTTTTTGTCCGTGATCTGAATTTAGGAACTTCAATTATGGTTACATTGGCGACTTTTTGAAGGTGGACCTGCTGAACCATCCAGAATACATTGAGCAGAACGCAACCCTCGCCTTCCAAACTGCTATTTTTAAGTGGATGACTCCGATCAAGAAATCACAGCCTTCGGCTCACGACATCTTCGTCGGTAACTGGAAGCCCACCAAGAACGACACTTTGGCCAAGCGTATCCCGGGCTTCGGCGCCACAATGAACATCCTTTATGCAGATCAAGTGTGTGGACAGGGCGATATTGACAGCATGAACGTCATCGTCTCCCACTATCTGTATTACCTCGACCTGATGGGTGTTGGCCGAGAGGAGGCTGGACCCCACGACTACCTCACTTGCGCGGAGCAGGTCGCATTCAACCCTACTTCTTCCTCCTCCTCTTCCACTTCTTGAGCCTCTGAGTATCTCGCCCAGATGTTCAACCGGTCTCCGGTGAAGTCAAGCGTCGAAAGAAATTGTGCATGTGTTTTGCATCCAGTGAATATCACTAAGTAAACCCTGTGAATCGGCCCACTGCCATTATTTGTTCTTTCTATTTATGTCCAGGTTCGGTTTGTTTGTGGAATATACATAATGTGTTGCAGTATAATTTGTAATTTTTGTCATCTGTTTGGTCTGTTGTACCGGCAAACGTGCTGTAGTACCATAAGGCATAAGGGGGCATCTCCATCTGTGCTTTACACCGTTTATTCTTCTTACATGAGAACTGAGAGGTGCATCTTGCTTTTGCTTATGGACGAAGCAGAGAATCAGGAGCATCTGTCTCCTCTTTCTTGTTGCTGAGCGAAAATATCGAGACGTGTAAGTTCTCGACTATCTATGACACGGTGGTGACAATCGGTAGACATGCGGACCTGAGTCCAAGATAAACCTCTCAGACCTCCCACCTTTCTTATTTACATAATGTATGTATTTGAGGTCCATGAGTCCGTGTTTTGTCTCACCAAAACTCTTCCCTCTTGTTTTTCTGGGTTCAATTCTGTTCAAAATCTCATGATTGAAGGAGGTGGATGTTGAAGAGCGAGGTGGTGTGTTATGAGGTAGGAGATACTTGACTCAAGATTCCGAAACTATTCGGCTTAGGAAAAAAAGCTACCGAAAATTTCAAATTATGTCCGCTATGGCACATTTATGCTAAACTTATTTTCGTGACATCAAAATCCAGAATTTGTACTTGTATAATACATTTACCTTCCGTCAAGATTTCGTTAATAATCATCATTCAAAATTTGCTTACATGGACACCGGAAGGCAAACGGTATTGATAAGGTACCCACATGATTTAAATGAAATAAAAACGACATTTTGGTTGAAAAATCATGTGACAAAAAATAAATGTGTTGTAGAAATATAAGTTTGGGGTTTTTTTTTTATGTTATAAGAGAAAATTTATAATAAATGTGTCACAGTTGGCATAGTTTGAGTTTTTTTTATGTCACAATGAAAAGTTCAAGATAAATGTGTCATAGTGGGCATAGTTTAGGGTAATCTATGACTTTTTCCCTAAGGGTTAAGATCGATCGATTGAGTCCAATTCGAGAAACTGACTAGCGTCGCCTGAGTTTAGAATGTCTCATCATATTAGGGAAAATTGTTTAAAAAGTCATTAACTTATTTCACTTTTACCAATTTAATCATAAACCTTATTGAGTCTTAAACCTTTTCACTTCCCGTCAATTGAGTCTACCTGGCCAATTTTAGCTGGAAATCGCTAACATAGACGCCGGCAGGCTACATGGCGTTGATGTGGACATTTTTAAATAATATTTTAGTACTTTTCTGAATTTTTATGATTTTTTTCTTGTTTTTCCTTTTCTTTGTTTTTTTTTTTTTGAGTTTTGGAGCTAGGGTCGGTGAGGGTGGCCAACCGACCCTTGCCAACTCTGTGTGAGGGCATGGGGCCAGCGAGGGCCACCAATCCCTCACCTAGCCAGCTCTAGGTGAGGGCCACGACACCCTCACTTAGAGTCGGCAAGGAAGGGTCGCTGGCCCTAACTCCAAAAAAAAAATAGAGAAAAGGAAAAAAAGAAGAAAAAGCCATAAAAAATTTCAAAAAATTATTAAAATATTATTTAAAAATGTCCATGTCAACACCGTGTGGCCGATTAGCGTCCATGTCGGCGATTTTCGGCCAAAATTGGTCGAATGGATTCAATTGACTAAAATTAAAAAGGTTTATGACTCAATTGGCAAACTTGAAATGTTTATGACTGAATTGGCAAAAGTGTAATAAGTTTAAAACTTTTTAGACAATTTTCCCCATCACATTGATATAGAGATGAGAAGAAGTTGTGCTACTTTCTTCTTCTTCCTTAAGTTCATAGTGGAAGGGCATTCACAAGTGTTAAAAATCCATTTTTTTCCCTTGAGGTTTGAGTTTGAAATGTTGTATGATGGACTTTCAATTTGGCAGATGGGATGGCCAATTATAGTCTCCATTCGTTCCGTGGAAAACGAATGATTTGAAAAGCATTTTCTTAAAATTACATCGCTTGTATCATTTACAAAAATGAATAAACAAAAAATATTTTTATCGTCCACGAAAATATTTAGACAAAAATTGACGGGAATATTTTTCATTGACTAATTATTTCAAGCGATATAAGAGATTATTTTTTGAAAAATATTTTCGAAACCATTCACTCTATGAAATAAATGGAGCCTTAGTTCAGTGTAGCTCGATTCGACGATCCGAAGTTCACATATGGAGGATGATTCTTAATACACATCCTTCCTACAAGCACCCACCAAAGTCGCATATAACATGGGTGTTTTTGATTTGGAAGGATAAATTTACTGTGGAACGGTAAGAGATCGGTCTATTATATATAATTGAATCCGGAGTTAAGAGAAGATTAGTTTTTGTACTCGTCACGGGCACTTAATTTACAAATAGGAGGCTCCTCCATTTATTTCGACACCCATGACATACGAAGTGGGGGCGATCGGTTCCAGAGTCAGTAGGGTCTAGATCTAGAACCTGGAACTTACCCTATTATAACCGGTTCCTAATTTTTAGAACCTAGAATCTATCTTGATTTTCCTAGACCCTGTTTTGGAATCCACCCTGTTTTTCTGATTCGGTTCTAGGGTCCACCCGATAACCTTTTTTTTTTGTTTCTTTTGATGTTTCATTTTTTCACACAGCATCTACGTTCAAGAACGCCACCACCTATGACCATCTATGCACACAACACGGAATAGGCAGAGACGAGATAAAACGAGAACACGAGCGACGACATAATTCATCAAAGGAACAAAACAACACACGGGCACTCAGATTTGGCCAAAAATGAAGAACACGAGGACAAAACTAGTTTTGGCATTTTGACGAACAGATGGGGTGCACCGGCTAAGAGAGAAAAACTGAGCCGATTGAGGCTTTGACTTATGCTAGGACTCATGACAATCAATGAACAATAATCCAAAACACCACAACACAAACGAAGGGGCTGGGACTCGCACGAACCGAACGACGACAAAGTCTGGTCCAGCGAGCTCGAAACAGGGCACAAAAAGGGGTTGGCTGCAGGTCCCTACCTAGATTTGGCCAAAAAGGCGCCGGCGACGAGAGGCGACGAGCTGGGTTGTGTTCCTGCGGCAATGCAACTATTGAGAAGGCGATTGAGAAGGCAACTCGCAAAGAGAGACTGAGAGAGACAGAGGAGGCGCTCGCGACTTTAGTCTAAAGTGATGTTTTTTTTTACATTAACTTAAAACCGATTCTAAAACCAGTCCATATTCAGAGTGGATTTTTACTTGGAATCGGGAACCAGATCAGATCCAACCAGTTCCCAAAAAATGGAACCGGTTCTCGGACCGGTTCAAACAAGAACCGGCTCTCGTACCTGTTTTTAGGGTGGGCCAGTCTAGTTCCGAGTAAACTCAGTCCGGTTGTACACCCTTAATACGAAGACATACGGAGTTTACAGAATTTCTCTCTCTCTCTCTCTCTCTCTCTTTATATGAACTTCTTTTTTCAAGAATGCGAAACTCTACCGGATTCGGGTCTTCAGTTGCGGTTCGTGAAGAGGAACTGAAACTCGAATGTTGGATTTGAGATCAAGCTATCAAGGCCCTCGATTTGAAATTCGTGAATAACGTCTAGTAGCGGCAATATTACACTGGGATGTTAATCAAGGGAACGTACATCGGGTTTGGCTTATTCGATTATCAGTTCGAAATTCGTCATATCCATCTCCATATCCATATCCATATTTTTCAGGGAAAAAGGTTATATTTATCTCATTTCCCGAATATTCCAATATTACTAATGCTACTCAATAAGCTCATGTCATTAAGCCAAATTCTTGACTATTATCTAGAATAGATAATTCGATTTAATTTACACGATTAATATTCAATTATTTTTTTCGAAATTACGACGTGCTTGAACTAAACTCGAGATCACATATTTTATTTTCCTAAGTTTTTTTGGGTCGAATTAGGAAAAATGACACAAACAATCCCTGAACTTTGGTCCAATGCGCAATGTAGTCTCTGAACTTTTAATTTACTCAATATCATCCCTGAACTTTTTGTACTTGTTCAATTTAGTCCCTGAGCTATATGAAAATGTTCAATGCAGTCCTTCAATTAACTCAAATTCAGGAACTACATTGAACATATTCATATGGTTCAAATATTACATTGAACATGTACCAAAGGTTTAGGGACTGCATTGAACAAATTAAAAGTTTAGGAACCACATTAAACATTAGGCTAAAGTTCATGAGCTACATTAAACAAATTAAAAGTCTCGAGATCAAATTGTATATTGAGCCAAAGTTTGAGGACTGTTTGTATCATTATCCTGTCGAATTATTTTCCTAAGTTGAATATGGAATTATCTGTGAAATATTTGAATTACTATGTAATATTTCTATCTAGCTCGAAACAATAAAGGTGTGAATGGTAATCATTCTGCTCCAGAAATCAAATTCTTGCCAGAAATTGATTTATGGAATTCTTGCCAGAAATTGATTTCTGGAGGAGAAATCTGTTTGGTAAAACATGACTAATTCTGCTCCAAAAATTGATTTCTGGAACAGAAATCTGTTTTGATTTGTTGATTTTTTTTTCACCTAAAAAAGTTTAAATTTTACTCAAAGTGGGTGGCCACATGTATTATAAGCCATTCTGTAAAGTTTTGAAATTTTTGATTTTTTTTAATTTATTTTGGGCACCTAAAAAAATTTAAATTTCACTCAAAGTGGGTGGCCACAGATATTTTAAGCCATTTTGTGAAGCTTTGAATTTATTTTATTTTTTTGAGCACCTAAAAAAATTTAAATTTTATTCAAAGTGGGTGGCTACAGATATTCTAAGCCATTTTGTGAAGTTTTGAAATTTTTTATTTTTTTTTTATTTTTTTGGGCACCTCAAAAAATTTAAATTTCACTTCAAAGTGGGTGGCCACAGGTATTTTAAGCCATTTTGTGAAGTTTTGAAAATTTTTATTTTTTTATTATTTTTATTTTTTTTGGCACCTCAAAAAATTTAAATTTCACTCAAAGTAGGTGGCCACAGATATTTTAAGCCATTTTGTGAAGTTTTGAAAATTTTGATTTTTTTTTGGCACCTCAAAAAATTTAAATTTCACTCA